GGGGGTTGCTGGGGGTACCCTCTTCTCTCCCCCGGCCTGTCCCTGCGCTGCTCAGAGGGCGGCCCTTCCGAAAGGGAAACTGCCGGCAACACCGCCCACAGCATCCCCTAGTGAGGCGCAGAAAGATGGATGCGCAGGTAAAAAGGTCATATAGCAGGATTTCCCTTATTTTTTTTTTTCTTGACTACATGCTTTCAGTATGAATTTCAGGGACATTGGTATCACGTTCTTGGGAAAAAAAAAGATAAATATTACCAGAAGGCATTCTGAATTGGCCCCTATACCCATAAACACTCAATTGCAAAATGCATTTAAGTTATAGCAAGAAGAAATAAAGCTCTAGAATAATATACACTTTTTTGCCTCCAGCGGTGTTCTTTCAGTCTCGAGAGACAAGGCTTCTCAATTCGTATTTTTTTCTAAATAAAATTAGAAAAAACAGTTTTTCAGGGTTTTTTCCTGTGTGAAGCAGGGTCCTGAAAAGCATGTGATAACAGACACTGGCTTCTATCACCAGAAAATGCTTTCTTTGTGTCTCAAGCTGGGGATAGCTCAGAAGATGCAATTGATAGTACTGGCCTTATTCATCAGGCACTATCTGCTGCATCAGGGAGACGAGCAAACTGGAAACCATGGCGATTTGACAGAGCCCAGAATATTGCCCTCTTCCTCCTGACTGCTTGATCCGCAATATAGATCATTACTTCAGGTGAACACGATAACCCACTCCCACGTGCAATTTCCATATACTGAATGAATCCCACCATTAGTATTCTGAAGACCTGAACCTAGTATGTCGAGAGCTACATCCCAATAACAAGTACATTTGGTTTTAAGTGAAATTTTGGCTAATGTTAACCTTAATGTTAAGGTAATGGATTTAAGTCACTGAAAGAGACAAGGTAATGGACAAATCCCATAGATCAAGAGAGTCAGCATCCAGCCCCACACTGTTCATGCAAGTGGGCACAAGGGCACTCCCCAGAGACTGCTCTCAGCTGGAGTCACACACCAAAATGATCTCCTCAGAAGGGAAGGCACAATGAGAGGCTTCTCCCAAATCCCAGATGATAGTAGTGAGTTGTTATTAAGGTCTACATTTTGGGCAATTTAATTTAATTGTAATTCTTCAAAAAGTTGGAGAATGTGCTTAGAATTGATAATGAGAATGCGGTCAATGGAATGAGATAAATACATTATGACTGGACTTAATTCTTTTCAGATATATGTCTGAGGTAAGAGGGCTGGAATACCCTCTGGTGCACTAGGGCTTTAACTTGTGACTCAACACAGGTATTCTCACAGTCATAGCTAGATCTTACAATATCTCAAGGCAAAGAACTGAGCATTGGATACGTGGGACATTAATTTTTAATTTACTAGACCCTCTTCCAGGTTTTTTGGTTTGGCTTTTTTCTTAAGTTTGCCTTTGAATCAAAATGCCATATTGTCAGTTACCAGGCAGATCACTGTTTTAATAGCAAACATGGACTTCTGAGTTTGAGTTGTTTTGTTACCTGTTTTAGATGCCCAGAAAGGCGATGGAAGGTATCTATCTTCTAACACAGTAAGGACCAGTGAGAACAGTGTTTCCTACTTCAGACCTGTTCAATAACAAGAGCAGCTGTAGTCATACTCAGGACTTTCTCCTTCCTTTAATCTTGCCTTGAGTGTTGCTGTGAAACACCAGCTCTATGGCCATGTTTACCGTTCTGGCTTGCCTAACAGCAGCTCAGCTGCAGGAGGGAGCACTGGCAGGCAGCTCTTCTCACGACTGACCACACGAGGCCTCCCTTTTCCAAAAATACGATGCAAAGTACCTTCTTCTGGAGATGCTGAAGAAGAAAAGGGGCTGATGCCTTTTTCTTCAGGACGAGCACCTATCTACTCACCTGTTTGCTCCCAAGCCCCTCTACCTTCTTGTACACGAAGAAAAGCAAGCAAAAAGGCCAGGTTATGAAAAAGCTCATGGCATCCTGGAAAACCTTGTTCCACATGTGTTTATACAAAGCTTTACACAACTGAAATGAAAGTTAGTGTCCATAAAGGTTCTTTTAAATGTGTAAGTGTTGTGAAAACAAAAGCAGGGCAAGGCACAAAAGCCACACAGCGGCAAATCTGACCAGCATCCTGGCATGTTGCTGTTGCAAGAAGACTGCTAGCACTGTGTGATAAATCGTTTTTCTTACCATACTGATATTGTTTCTCTATATGGTCTCTCTTGGGCCTTTTTTAGCATCCTTCACATGTTTACAAAAAAAATATCTATACATATAAATACACAACCCTCTACAAGTTTCTTTTTTATGCACATATTTTTACATCATGGAAAGAAAATAATACTAATAGATAAGCAGTACTAAAATCAATTTAATAAGCTGATGTATAAATTAGGTCAAAGATCTGGAAATCAATATTCTAGTAGTAAGTTGTCTTCTTTACTTCCCCACTCACTCCATGATATTGTCAGGAAACATCTAGGCCAGATGAGACATTAAGGTGATCAATGCAAGTAAAAAAATGACGATTTCTTTCTTATCAGATCAATTATTTGTGCATACTGAAAAGCAAGTTTGATTAAATGCAGCCAGAGCTATTATAACTGAAAATTAGCTGGATTCTGCATATGCATCACTAACAGATGCATTGTTTCAGTTCCAAGCGCTGAACTGGCCTAATTGACAGTGGTGCAGAAGTTAATATTGGTTGGAAAAGTAAGAGGGGTTCTATTCTGGACCTTCTGTCATCAATAGTTATTGGCTAAATTCCAGTTGCCGACGCTGCATTACTGGCAATGACATGAGTCAAGAGAGCACAGCGTTGAATTCAGATACACAGGTGAGATTTAATATTGACACCAGAACTGCCTTTAATACGGCTGGTGAATTAGATATGCAACTCTTTAGAAACTGTGAGAGCAAAGTTACATCTTGACAGTCACAGTTGAGACTATCCCTGCCCTAATTTAACTGTATATAAAACCACAGAGGGATGCCAACCTAGGTAATTCTAGATAGCTGATACATATTCTCAAGACATAATTACTGAGGTACCATTTTATATCCAACAAAATCCACCTATTAATAGAACTTACTTAATCACTTTCAAAGTTAGTTAACCTATCATACTAGGTTTTCTTCAGGGATTACACCACAAAATTCTGCCCAAGTTTTCCCTAAATACCACAGTCTAACCTGTTCCGTGCAGGAGTTTCATATTCTTCATATTTCACTTCAGTAATCATGCTTAATAATTATTTTTTCTCAATAAATTTATTCTTAGTAGTTTTACAGGAAGCCTATTAAAAAAATCAGTAGTGGTTGCATACATTTCTAGTTCTCAAGATATAACAAAAATATTCATTGTTCTAATGCTATAAAAACTTGAACAGTTTTGATGATTGAAATAAAATTTCCTGAAATATCAGGCTTTTTAATCAAGCACGGAAATACATTTAATATGTTTACATAAGGTGCAAAAAGGGCAATTTCTTAGCTATAAACCTTAAAATCTAGGTATTACCACTACAGCTTTATCCACTCTGCTCAAGCTTTTATACAAACAGCATCTTCAAGTTATAAAATCTAGCATAACAGCCAAATTAAAAAAATCTAAATCATGTTTTTATGTACTTGCCTGTGTTTGTTGCCTCTGTGCATATGTGTAATATGCAGGAACTTGATCATTACTCAGCTTTTAGAAACAATTCGGTATTATCATTTCACATGCTCATCGTCCCTGACATTAACTTAGATGTGTAACTCACATGAGTAAAAATTCAATTAAAAAGTTCTCCTGTGCTCTGTACCTCTGTGCATAGCATCCAGGTGTTGATTTTTATACTGGTTTTAATCTAACAGTGGTGACATTTTGTTGAGCAAAGATTGCCATCACTTTACATGTGTGTACAGCACTGCACAGTTAGCACAGTGGCTTTTAGCTGCCCATTAAAATTCACATATTACCACAGCACAAACAGTGAATGTAGAAAATAGCATCTTCCACCTACTGCTTGTGGCCAAAAACAGTGCATGCAACTTAGAGCTTGTAAAACAGATTATTTAGGTGCTGAAACAATGTTCACCAAACTTAGTGGGGTGATTTGTATTGACTTCCACGGGTCGTGTTATCACCTCTTCGGCCTGTTCAAATTCACACTGCAAAATGTAAAGATCCAGTAACTCGGATGACAATCAAGCACAGAAAGTCTTAAAGAAATCTAAAGGGTTAAATACAATCTTGAAAAATGTCCTTTGAAGTCTCTTACAGTGTCTTCTTAGACTGGAAAATAATTTTAAAAGAACTTTCCTGAAAAATGACAGGAATTAGATTCTTCCCATCCCTGAAACAATGCCAAAGTTTAAACATTTTCAAAAATTTCTAAAAAACTTAGTTACATTCTCTACTGAAAATGTTGTGAAAACTTTTATGTTATTTTGTAATTGAGCTTAAACATTTGATCTTTTTTAGCCAACTGCTCACAAAAATAAATTTAAAATACTTTAAAGGGTTATTGTGTGCTTCCAAACACTTTCATTGACAAATAAAAAAATAGCTGCCACCGAGGAAGAGACATTACTTTTCACATTAATAATTAAGACAACACAGAAATATAGTTCTTATTTAAATAAGGGAATTCTTATTTCTTCAGCTGTAATTCTTGCTATTTCCCCATTACCTTTGTCCCAGCTGGACTGAAAAACAAACAGTAACAGGCAAATTCAATTAGCGTCGATCCATGGGCTCCACACCACCACAGGAAAATCACCTTGGGCAGCTGGGTAACCCAGCTCATGATTGCTTGTGGAGTGGTGGGGCCATAAGCTTAGGTAGCTTATTTTCTCTTACGAACATTTTTTCCCAATCTAAATCACATTTTTTTCTGTGTCTTTTCTAATCATAGTAGTGCAG